ATTTCTATACATCTGTCTATTTGGCTAAGTTTCGGTAGTGAAGTTTTCCATTTTGTAATAGATCTCATTATAAAGATACTGTTGAAACTGAAGAAAGCTTATTTTGGCGAAGGAGAATTTCATAGGAAATTCGTCTAAAATTTTTGTTTATAATGTTATTAATTGGAAATTTTCCCGTGCAATTCATCGTTATATCATATCAAACGATATGGTTGATTCGTATAACTGAGTGAAACTGTTGTGTCTAGAAATATTGTTTATTAGTTCGTATTGTTGGTTATCGTTTTTAGATAGAAATAAGATTTTGTGAGTGAAGGTTAATTTTGTTTTCTGATTATTTAGGGATCAATAGAAATTATCTAGAAGTGAATTATAATGTTTTAGCGAACGTTGCGAATTGCTAAATAAGTTTTAAATTCTATGTATTGTTGATCTTACATTTTCTCTTATGATTTTCTGCATGTTAATTAAAGAATAGAGATCTAAAGAAACTCAGATTCCTATTTAGTTTTGTAAGAATAGAATCCAAACGAATATAAAGTTTTCTTTTCTCTCAAAATTGATTTGTTCGGTAAATTTAAAATAAGAATAGTAGAATTAAAACTCATGCATTATAGAGTTTAAATAGTGTGTATTTTATACGCTTTCTATTTGTATCAATCTGTTTTCGTAAAAATTCTACGTTTTCAATTCTTATTTTTATTTTTATTACATATAATTCTAGTGTCTAATGATTCGTTTTGATTCATAGTTTTGGAGAAACATATGATTGTGAAACACTTTTTATTGCTACTTCTATTTTCAACTACGTAGTAGAAGTTGATGTTTCTAATTTTGGCTTTCTAAAACTGGAACTCAATTCATTCATAGAATATTGATTACCCACCATTTAATTGTTTTACAACTTTCGATGCTTTTTTTTTTGAAATAATTCAAAATTTTTCGATTAACTTAAGATAACGCAGTTGATGAAATTTGCAAATTGAGAAATAAAAGAAAGATCATTTTATAAAAAAAAAAGATTGAAATCACTTAGCTCCTTGCGCCCAGTTCCACTTCAGATATATACAAGATTTTCAGAGAACTCGCTGATAAAATGATCTCATGAATTGAGTACTCGTTTGTCTCATTTGTCAATCATGTGGTCTGATCCATCTAAAATCTAATCTTTCCTTTAGAGTTTGTTAATTTGTACATTGACTAAGTGATGATGTAAGATGATGGAACAACATGAGAAGCTTTTCTTTATTTTCGTCTTTGAGTAGACTATTGAAAGTGAAAACTAACATCTATTCCATGTTATTGGAATATTTGAAAAAGATGAGAGAAGTGAACCAAAAAAAACTGATGTCGAAGAAAAAGAATATATTTTTTTGGTATGTGTTTCATAATCATTTAGTTCTGGAACTGTTTTGTAACTTTTGAAAGCATTTACTTTGTAATAAATACTATTCTAACTTCTCATGAATAGAATTTCATGATACATATATTAATATATATATATCTTCATGACCTTATGATTTCGTCATAATGATTCCATGATCGTTCATGTGGCTTAGTGTATCTAATTGGACACTTTATCCAAAATTATATCAAAGCAAGCTATCTCACTAGTACACACTTTAGTCAATTGATATCATAAAAATATTAGGCAAGATGGCTATTCACTGTAAATAGAAAAGAACTTCTTTCATAAAGATTCGATTTTTTTTTCACATTATAAATTTCGTAAGTCCAGTATAGGAAAGTCCGAGGGATGAAAAACATACTCATTTTATGAATTGATAATCCAGAAAATTCATCAACGAAATATTCATATCGTTGATAAATCTTATGTTTCCTTCCATCGTTCTAAAAATGGAAATTCGGGTTATGTATAGTGTGTAAACTAATATAAAATTGCTTTCGTGTAAAAAATACTCTACAATAAATTTGGATCCTCATTTTCCATGTCGTTTTTTAGTTATCATCAGCAAAGTTGCTGTTAACTTATGCATTTTAAACATTCGTTACTTAGCACTATTGTTTCATCTGTGCATTATTTCTCATAGCGATGTAAACTTGTATAGGATAATTTTTTCGCATATTGATGAAATTGGCACATACAATTTCAAAAGAGAGTGATAACAATATATAGATAATTACTCTTATTACGAGCATAGATATAAATGAAACTTTTCATTTCCTATTTTGTGTTAAAAACAGGATTCTGTAAAGTGAATGAATGGAACTTCTTTTTCTTGAAAAATCATATAACGATCAAGAAACATAGATGACATCAACGGTTAAAAAACATTTGCATATCCAATATTTCCGCTTTCCGAAATTTGAAACAAATAAATGATTTGAATTTTGATTCTCGATTTCAGTTTTTTCTGGAAGCGATGGCTGTGGTACATAGTAGAGTTTTCAAATTTTATGCATTATTGAAAAGTTTTGAGTAGACTTTTGATAATTTGTACTCGTTTATTCAATATTTAACAAAAGCTTTAAAAAATTTTTAGTTGATCTATTTCGCTGGTTGAATTTTATGCAAAACAATTGAATTATAACGTGTTAAATCTAGACTTGATCGTTTACTACTTTCATTTTACTATTATCAAATGATTGGTACAAGAAATTCTTACGAATAACTTAATTGAAAACATCATATCGTAATTTTCTAATTCAGAAGCTTTGCAATGTCTCAAATCGACTTCATCAATAAATAGTTACGATTTTGAATCAAATAACTGAGGTGGCATTCGACTAACACTAGGAATTCTTTTGTTTCTTTTTCTAATATATCTTTTTCCAATTATAATATTGATTTCCTATTTTTTTTAGTCAAGTTTGGTTACAAAATTCTCAGAGTCTTCTAAATCGATGGATATAACTTAAGGACCTAAGAAAATCCATATTTTAGTATATGTTTTCTTAATTGTTTTAATTTAAGATGTACATTTATATGTAGTTTGATATAAATTTCAATTAAATGATATCTTAGATAAGGAGAGGATAATGAATATTAACATAAAAAATCAATTTGTTTCTATTGAAAAATCTATTAATTGGAAAACAATAGTGATGTTAATCATGAAGAAAACAAGATTTTGAATATCTTACACTTTTCTATTTGCTTTCAGTTTATTTGTGTAACCTTATTTTATTTTTCTTGAGAAATCTGTTCAAAACCTATCATTATAACAATATTCTAATTCTATTCATTTCTTTTATTCAATACTTTTGTTAAAACTTCAATGAACAGTTGAATAGAGTTTTGTAAGAAGACGACTTTTTACAATCTAGATTTGGATTGGAAAACTTTTTCTTAAAACAAGATTCAACCTAAATTAAATCAACATTCTACAAATGGTTTCATATTCACATTACTATTTTGAAAACTTTAAGAGATACAAGATTTTATTTTGCTCAATGTCTTTCACAAAATGAAACAAATAAAAACAAAATTCTCTCAAAATATAATATATAAAACTAAATGAATGAAATAATTCATGATTGAATTGATGTGTTTGTACTTCTATAGAATTTGATCATCTTCTCTAGATATATTGCTGCTCTAATCAGAATAAAACTTCATATTGCAGTTAAAAGACATGCCTGTTAATAGGACAGATCAGTATTTCTTCCAAGATGAAAATATATATGTTCATTTTTTTTTATAGTTCAATTTTCTTTTTATTTAATATCATCTACTTGTTCATGTCATATCTAAATATTTATATATACACATGAAATTTTATGATAAAAATTAATTCTCTTCGTTGAATAATATGAATATTTTTTTCTATGATCTTTATTCTAGCAAAATATATTATACGACCTATACTTGAGGTTATATTCATCTTGAAAAAAGTGAACGTCTCTAGTTAAAATATGCGTTCAGCGTGTATGAAAACATTTAAAAAAAACAAATAAATAAATAATTGAAAGAACTTCAAAGATTCTTTCATTTTGTAAATTTATGTTATGATTTTTACACATCTATTAAAACAAATGAATTAAATATAATGAAAACACTATCATTCTAATCATATTAAAAAATTTGCATGGACTCGTCTTGCTCATTGTTGTAGAAATTAGTGTTCTCGATTTTTATTGTAATGAAAATATCTTTTTAGAAAAGAAATTACAGCTCGAGAATGCTCATGTAAAATCTTTTCTCAACTTAACGAAGTCTTTCACTGTTTAAATTTGTTAAAAAATTAACTATTTCATGAAAATTGATATTACCTTTTTTGGACTTTAGAAACAAATTACAATACACTCTAAAAATTAATATATGTTTTTCTCAACAAAAAAATTAGATCATTTAACACCTATTTGTTCGCTGAAAATTTTTTTAACACATTTTTTCTTCGTTAAAGATGAGAATGTCCAATGCATGAATACTCATTAAATTCCAAAGATTATTTATACGTTATTGCTTAGCATTTTTCATGATTTATTATTAACCATAAATAATAATAGACTATCTTCAATGATTGGTACCCTCATAAATTTCATTCATCTGGAAAGCAATATCAAACTAACTGCTCAATATTGAATGTATTATTGAATAAGAGGCTTACGAAAATCTTTTTATAACTACAATTATTTCGCAATCAGTGTTAAAACCAATCATGAAATATTATCAGTTTTTCTTTTATCGATTTATAAAAATTATAACTCACCTTATTAGTTTTGGTATGATGTAAAATACATTTCTAGATTATATTTGAATTGAAAATTGAAGTAAAGAGAATCATGATTAATTTAAATTTTGATTTATTCATTAAAGGATAAGTTATTGTATA